GATTTTCCCAATTTTTCCTAGATTTTACTGGTTTTCCCCCCAATTTTCTCGGATTTTCCCAGGTTCCCCACAGATTTTCCCCGTATTTTCAAGTATTCTCCTGTTTTTTCCCAGATTTCCCCCATATTTTCTTGGATTTTCCTAGATTTTATTAATTTTTCTTAGATTTTCCCAGATTCTTCTGGTTTTTTTCCCAGAGTTTTCTGGGGTTTTCCCAGATTTTTCTGGGTTTGTCCCATTTTTTGCCCATTTTTCCTCATTTTTTCCCATTTTTCCCAGCCTCCCCTGCCCCACTCCCTTCCCAAATTCCCCCAAATTCCCCCAAATTCCCCCAAATTCCCCCAAATTCCCCCAAATTCCCGGGATTGATGGGAAAAGGCTCCGGGAGGGTTTTGGGGGGTCCCGAGCCTGATCCCGGCCCCTTTTCCTGACAAAAATTCCCAAATTTTTGCAGCCCAAGCTGACCCCGCAGGAGAAGCTCCGGCTCCGGATGCAGAAGGCGCTCAACAGGCAGTGTGAGCATTCCCAAAATTCCCCAAAATCCCCAGAATTCTCCCCAAAATCCCCTGGAATTCCCCAAAATCCCCTGGAATTCCCCAAAATCCCCTGGAATTCCCCCCAAATCCCCTGGAATTCACCCCAAATCCAGTATTTCCCAGAATTCCCCCAAATCCCCCGAAATTCCACCAAAATCCCCTGGAATTTCCCCAAAATCCCTAGAATTCCCCCAATTCCCCTGGAATTCCCCAGAATCCCCCAGAATTCCCCAAAATCCTCCAGAATTCCCCAAATCCCCTGGAATTCCCCAAAATCCCCCATAATTTCCCTAAAATTCCCTTGAATTTCCCCCAAAATCCCCCAGAATTCCTCAAAATATCCCTGAAATTCCCCAGAATTATTCCCAAAATCCCCTGGAATTCCCCAAAATCCTCCAGAATTCCCCCAAATCCCCTGGAATTCCCCAAAATCCCCCGGAATTCCCCAAAATCCCCTGGAATCCCCCAGAATTCCCCAAATCCCCCGGAATTCCCCAAAATCCCCCATAATTTCCCTAAAATTCCCTTGAATTTCCCCAAAATCCTCCAGAATTCCCCAAAATCCCCCGGAATTCCCCCAAATCTCCCGGAATTCCCCGAAATCCCCCATAATTTCCCTAAAATTCCCTTGAATTTCCCCAAAATCCTCCAGAATTCCCCAAAATCCTCCAGAATTCCCCCAAATCCCCTGGAATTCCCCCAAAATTCCCCGAAATTCCCCAAAATTCCCCCAATGCCCTGGAATTGCCGAAATTCCGGGGAATTCTCCCGGCACGGGAATTCCCGCTCCGTTCCCAGTCAAGGCCGACAAGAAGGCGGCGCAGGAGAAGATGCTGCAGCAGGAGCACGAGAGACAGGTGGGCTGGGAAAAACGGGAAAAAACGGGAAAAAAACGGGGAAAAAATGGGGAAAAACGGGAAAAAAC